TCCAGCACGTAAAGCACGTAATAATCCAGTACGTAAAGTACGTAAAGTACGCAATAATCCAGCACGTAAAGCACGTAATAATCCAGTACGTAAAGTACGTAAAGTACGCAATAATCCAGTACGTAAAGTACGTAATAATCCGTTTTACCACGTAAAGTACATAATAATGCAAGACGCAATTTCATTCTTTTTGCCTACTTCTGCACTTAAGCGTCCTCAAATTGCCCATTCTGATTCTGTCTTGCAGTGATTCTTCTGAAACAATCATGATTTTGGAGTTGAATTTGGAGTTGAATTTGTAGCTGAACTTGTAACTAAACTGCATTAGCAAACCTCTAGGTATATAAGGAAAGATGTTTCTCCATTTGTTTCTCCATTTTTCTGAAAGGAAACGGTAGTTTTTAGAAAGGAAACGGTAGTTTTTAGAAAGGAAACAATAGTTCTATCACACCAAACATCAACCCAGGATCATCATGAGCTTTCCCATGAATACAAATTGAACTTAAATAACCAAGAATGTAACCAAGAGTCACCTAAACAGTCATTTTCTTCATTCTTTACTGAAAAATTCGAGCTTTTGGCTAAGAAATGGCTGGCAATACAAACAACAACCGTCGACAACTTGGTCGCCTCGATGAGCGCTCGGTGCTAGACTATCATTGATTCTAAAGGCTGAAAAACATTAACTTGAACTTCTTTCACTCATCATTTTTTAAGCAAAATTTCTTCAACAATTATCAACAACATTTTTACGATAGCTGCAAGAAAAATCGAGTATCAATTTGTGGGAAAAAAAATCGAAATATTTGGAGAACGGATGAACGGAAAAAAAGCCAGCTTTCACCCCATTCGATTCGCACTTTTACGATTTATTGTTCTTTTTTTTCGACCGTTTATAGGCTGGAGAAAATGCATAGCTTTTCCAGGGTTTCCTGGGAAAGCCGGCAAGCTTTTGAGGGAAGTTCATTAGAATTTATTTTACTAGAGAAAGGCACGAACTTTCGTTGACTTTTCTCTCCAGAAACTCATTGGCTTTCCTTTCCAGAAAACATATATCTTACTAAATCGAGTGTGGAGATTCATAATCTGAAATCAAAATCTGTCAAACAAGCTTACAAACTCGTAAAAATTGAATTGAAATTTAAGAACAGAAGATAAGCTGTCACCCTTCGTTTTAAATGGTAACGGTTTAAAGGGCGTTTTTTCAGTGTAGGGTTATTGGCACGACTGGCCAAGTGGTTAGCCGCGAGGTGTCTCAGTAGGAGGGTCGGGGTTCGGTCCCGCCCTAGGGTTTTTGTTTTTATTATTCTAATACTTTACAGGTTTACAGTTTAACAACAAATCTACACTAGATATTGATACAGTAAACAAGTACATACAGTACTAGTACATTATTTTTCACCTGGCTACAGACCTGGGTGTGGAGCAGTCTTTTCTGAGGACTATTTTCGGACTGGGGACTAGCTAGATCAGAGTCAGCCTTCAACTTACCTTAAGTCGAACCAGACTATAGTTTTCAGAAATTGGTGTGAAATCTACACTACACCTAGACCAGAACTAGCTAAGAACTAAGAACCAGAACTAGCTAAGCCACTGGGTCCGGCTATTCATAGTTTTCAATTCGATTTTGAATTGTTTAAGATTATGATTTGAAGATTTAACAAATCAGTCAATTTATAGCCAAATTACTGAAATGAAAGTGAACACAATGGCTTTCACAATGGCTTAGGACTGGCTTTCACCCAAAATAGTCGTAGCTGTCGATCAAGTTTTTCTTTTCCTTTCTCTTTTTATCCATTTTTCCCTTTCATTACATCAAATTATCGTCTTTTTCTAGTATTTTGTGCCATAGTGAAAGTCGATTGAATTGAATGAATTGAGAGAATTGAATGAATTGAAGCCATTTCGGGGATGGGAAAAGATTTACGTGATCTTTGTAGGGAAATGCAAGAAAATGAAAGCAAAGAGACAAATGGCAAGAGACAAATGGCAGAGAAAGAAATAGCAATTTGGTGTCTAGATTTGGATGATTGCTGGGGGAAAAGGCAACAAATGGAGGAATTCAAATTGCACTTCTGGTTTGCCACTTAGTTACTTTCAAGGGAAAGGCAGTCGGCTCTTGTGAATCACTTTGTTTTCTGAAAAAAGTCAATTTCTAAGAAACTTTAAGTGGCTCAAAGTGGTAGGTATGGCGGAACAATGGTTTTGGTTTTTTTGGGGCCCAAATTTTGGATCTTTTGTCATGATTTTTACCATATTATGATCTCTCTATGCAAAAAAATTTGCATAACACCATGATCGAGGGTATTCAGGTCCATGAGTGTGTTCGGATCATGGGATCGAGTGTATTCGGGTCCATGAGTGTGCCCGGATCATGGGATCGAGGATGTTCGGGTCCATGAGTGTGCCCGGATCATGGGATCGAGTGTATTCGGGTCCATGAGTGTGTTCGGGTCCATGAGTGTGTTCAGGTCCATGAGTGTGTTCGGATCATGGGATCGAGGGTGCTCGGGTCCATGAATGTGTTCGGATCATGGGATCGAGTGTATTCGGATCCATGAGTGTGTTCGGGTCCATGAGTGTGTTCAGGTCCATGAGTGTGTTCGGATCATGGGATCGAGTGCGTTCAGGTCCATGAGTGTGTCCGGATCATGGGATCGAGGGTGTTCGGATCCATGAGTGTGTTCGGATCATGGGATCGAGGGTGTTCGGGTCCATGAGTGTAGAGTGCAGTTTTTTGTAGTTATCCTAATAGTGTTTATTATGCACCACAATGTCAGTACAAAGTTTTAATTTTATGGCAAAAGTCTCATGGTGGTGACCATGGTAGCTCAGAAAATTCTTCTACAGGGTGGACCAAAATTGACGTTACATATATTAAGGTTGGAGCATGAGTGAGCATTGTAACGGTAGTTTTGGCCCACTATGTATAGTCTCCGGGACGCTTCGATTTTTAGCTGTTTTCTAACTAAAAAACTTGTATTTAGGAAGAATTTTTCTTCCTGCATACTTTTTTGATAGGGTAATGTTTTTACATAAATACTATGTAAACATAGCTCTACTTTTAAACTTAAAATATAGCAAAAGCTTTAGACAACATGATTTGGATCAATGGAACTTTTGCGCGAAACTTCATGAACGTTCAAAATATAAAATTGACAAGCCAGCCAGGCTAGTGTTTTTTACCAAGCTAGCCAGGCTAGTGCTTTTTGCCAAGCTAGTGCTTTTTTGCTTATAGTCAGTTCAGATTTTGACAAAGCCAGAGCCAGTCTCTGCTCCTTTAAATGAAAACTAGATTCCAGATATCATTTGAGAGAGATGCAGGGAGTTTAAGTTGCCCCGAAATTCTGCAATCTTTTTAAATCTATTGGGTTGGGGAGAATGAGTCGGCGCCGAAATTTGAAGAAACTTTTTGCACCCATAAAACCTTCTTTAAATACACGTTTTGTTTCATCAAAATGGTCCACTATTTATCTACAAAATGGCTTTTGAGAGATTCCACAAAGCTTTTCTTTCATGGCGTTTATGAACTCCAAAACACAGCTAGTCAAAATGGCAAAGAGTACGACTCCTCGTTTGAACCATTTCTTCCACATAAACCTTCTTTGGTGTCTGCATAAAAAGATAGAGCACACTCAATTATTAATTAGACTAACTTTTCTTGACAAACGAGAAGTAGTTAGATCTATTGGGTTGGGGAGAATGAAATGGTGCCGAACTTTAAAGACACTTTTTGCACGCATAAAGCCTTCTTTAAATACACGTTTTGTTTCATCAAAATGGTCCACTATTTCTTTACGAAATGGCTTTTGAGAGATTCCACGAAGCTTTTCTTTTTTGGGATTTTATGGATTCCCAAACACAGCTAATCAAAATGACAAAAAGTGCGACTCATTGCTTGAACAGTTTCTTCCACATAAACCTCCTTTGGTCTTTATATAAAAAAGATAGAGCACACTCAATTACATAAGTTACCAAATTTTCAGGAAGATCCCTCCAACCGTTTACTCTAGATGACAGTTTATCGATTTTGTGAAAAAATGATCCTTTGTTGAGTTGAGGCGCTGTTTGAGTTCTCTTTTAAATATTATTTTGTAGAGAATTAGTTACCCTTCTACGGATATCAAACTCATATCATTTGACAAAGTCTGCTATAAGTTTTAGAAATTTCTTTGATTTTCGGCGCCGACTCATTCTCCCTAACCCAATAGCATACGAGCGAGTTACAGAAGTACCGACTTAAGCGTTCAGTTATAATCAGGATTATAACCTTATAGGGGATTCGTTTATAAGAAAAGTCAGAATTTTGCAGTCACGACAGGGTAGAAGCCAAACAAAAGTGAGTTGTTGGTTATTTTTAGCATTCCTGAGTCTTAAAGTTGCCTTTTTCTCTAACAAAACTGTTAGCCAGACAAATTTAGTTTACAAATTCTTTAGTTTACATAAAATATTGAATCAATTACTCAATTAACTACCTTATTCGCTGTGGTCAACCTGCGCAATCGTTCCTTCAGCGTTCGGATCTCATTCTTGAGCGGCAGAGTAGGATCGGTGAATTCTCGCTCACCAAAGTCACCAATTGTCTGAAATTTTTGTCTCTACAATCTAAGAAATGAAAAGTTTAGACAATTTTTCACTAAGAACTGCACTAAGAACTCAAATTTTAGTTTTCTCAAACTCAAACTCAAACCGACTCATTCTCCCCAACCCAATAGTTCTAATTAATCTAATTAATACCTATGCTTGATTTAAATGCAAATTGACCGCTCAATGAGCCGAATCTTTTCCGAACGCTTCTTCGAAATGAGACTTTCAAGATTGCGGTGTCTCCAGCAAAATCGATCAATTTTCTGGTGCTAAAATAACACAATCGAATAAAAAACGCGAAATGGGCGCCGTGATAAGGATTGGGGAGTAGTGGAATCATTGGGAAAAGACAAATCACGCAGAATCACTCACTTCTGCGGACAAATCACGGCTGAAAATCGTTTGCTTCGAAAATGAGCCCGAAAATTTTCCTCTTCACCGTATTCGTTGCTTTGCTGAGTGTTTCGGAGGCGAAAAAGTGCTACAATTGCACGAGCTACGATCCGCATTGTGATGACAATTACGCGAGATATTTGATTGGTGAGTATAGAGTTTCTAGAGCCAGAACAATGGAGTTTTTCTTTCATTAGGTTAGGCGAGGCTGGGAGCCAGGTCTTCTAACTTTCTAACCTTGCCTAGCCTAGCTTTGCTGCAGGCCAAGCCTAGCTTTGCTGCAGGCCAAGCCTAGCTTTGCTGCAGGTCAAGCCTAGCTTTGCCGCAGGCCAAGCCAAGCTTTGCCGCAGGCCAAGCCAAGCCTAGCCTGAAGTAAGGTAAGTAAGTAAGGCCAAGCCTAGCTTTGCCGCAGGCCAAGCCTAGCTTTGCCGCAGGCCAAGCCTAGCTTTGCCGCAGGCCAAGCCAAGCTTTGCCGCAGGCCAAGCCAAGCTTTGCCGCAGGCCAAGCCAAGCCTAGCCTGAAGTAAGGTATAAGGATATGTCTGGCGGTAATTTGGATATGTCGGTGTAGATCATTGGTAGAGTGTTCGTCCGGTAAGCGAGTCAGCGGTGAGTCACGGGTTTGAATCCCGGTGCCGACCAGGTTTTGGATTCCAAGCCTCAGCCGATAAAAGGAACTCTGAATCTGATCAGTTTTCCAGGCCCTAAACATGATTGAAACTTCTCTGGGCAATTTCTCAAGGCATTCCCAGCCCTAACCCCAACCCCAACCCCAACCTCAACCTCAATCTCAACCTCAACCCCAACCCTAACCCTCCTCTGAATCTGTTCTGATCTAAACCAGCACGATTGGAACTTCCCTAGGCAATTTCTCAGGGCTCCAGGCAAGATCATAATCCTCATCTAGCCTCCTGGGTTGGTTTAGCTCTGGAGTTGGCCTACCACACGTCGCCCTACCAGAAGCTAGACCTAATCCTGGCTTCTGCTCTGACTCTTGGGCCCTACCTGGCCTGGATTGACTTACAGCAGTTGGTAGAATCCTCGCTTGCCAGCAGTTGGTAAAATCCTCGCTTGGCAGCAGTTGGTAGAATCCTCGCTTGCGGGTGACCCGGGTTCGATTCCCGATTTCTTTATCGATTTTATAGATTCTTTATAGAAAATGTACTTTATCGATGTTCTTTATGGATTTTATTTGAATCAATCTTTATAGATGTTATTTGAATTAATAACTGCCGTTGATTTAGTGATTTTATTACCGACAAACATTCACATCAATCATATGAGAGAATCTAGAGAAGACGAGAAACGAAATATAAACTTATGAAGTCTCAATTCTAATAAGGCCTATTAAGGGCTATTAAGGCTTAAACAAGCAGCACACATTTCTGCAAAAGGTTCTGGAGATTGGAATGTCTCTAGAACAAAATCTAGATCTAGATCTAGATCAAAAAAACTCCCTCAAATGAACCAATAGAGTTTCTAATTCTTGTTAGAATGATTCAAATAGAAACCACCAAAACATTTTACACCCCACTAGCTATCAAGAACATCTAGAAATCTAAAAGGCCATTGTTTTAAGCTCTTATTTTCTTCAGATTGTCCCCAATTGACGGCTGGTTTGATCAAGGCGCAGCAGGCGATCGGATGCCGAAAAATCGATCAATGGGTCGATGGAGAGCACACGATGTTCAGGTAAAAACATTCACATTCAAATCTACCCTTTTTATTACTTTATTCAAGTACATCAGCACCTATTCAGCTTTTATTAGGTGATAAAAAGTCTTGTGATAGTGGAAATCAATTCAGGGAATGCGCCTACACTGGAAAAGATTACAAGGATCGACAGCACAAGGTTTCAAAAGTTTAAAAAAAATGATTTTTAAACGTTTTAATCCTCCTGTTAATCCTAGTCATTTAACAATGAAAAAAAGGAACGAAAAGACCTTCTGGACAGCCTAATAGGTGACCTAACTTTGGCTTTGAACTTTGGCCTTGAATTCTTGGCGCACAATTGTCTAATTGAAACAATTTTGGTATCAATCGACAGAAGAAGACTTGGCAATTCCGAAAAAAAAAACCAGAAAAAACATTTCAACGATCTTTCTTCTGCCCATTTTACAGGCAATTTGCGGATTCCTCTTTCGTAGTAGGATTTTGGTTTGTGTGTGAGACAAGTGTGAGACTCGAAAATGGAGGACTGGAGATGTCGAGATGTCCCAGTTTGAGCATTTGAGCACTTTCTTCAAAAGAAACCCAATAGTGTCAATAGAAAAGTTGTAGAGAATCAAAAATTAGGCTTATAGCCAAATTTCCAAAAAGATACACTTGGTAATTTCGCTTAAAAAGCAAGTTTTGTTGCAAGTTTTTGTGAAAATTCGTAAATTTGGCCTTTCTTGAAAACCAGTTTTTGAATCATTCTGAAAATTTGGCTATAAGCTTAATTTTTGATTCTCTACAACTTTTCCATTGACACCAAAATGGGTTTCTTTTGAAGAAAGTGCTCAAACTGTCACATATGAAAATAGCCGGCGGTTTTCAATTCACCAACCCAATATTAAAGCCAACATGCTAGAAAGATTACTTTTATATGTAAAAATTGAAAGAATAAAGTCCGGCAAAGGGTCACGAAGCTAAAAAAAGATTGAACGAAAACTAGAAGCAAGAGTGCGCGGCTGAAATCAACTGCGCAGCTTGGCTTTACGAAGTTGATGCCAACTAATGTTAAGTTAATTGGTTTTTATCATTTTCTATAGCGGAAGCTTTGTTTTTGTGAATTTTTAGTTGAAAAAAACGTTAAAACGTTGACAAAACCGCAAAAAAAATAAAATGAAATGAACAAGAATGAAAAAAAAAGAATTTTCGCGCTTGGGAGGGGTACGGTAGTTTTACCATGCTTTAAAACGCCAACCTAGGATCCCCCCAGCTTTTGCCAAATTTACGAATTTTCACAAAACTCGCAACAAAACATGCATTTTAAGCGAAACTACTAAGTGTATCTTTTTGGAAATTTGGCTATAAGCCTAATTTTTGATTCTCTACAACTTTTCCATTGACACCAGAATGGGTTTCTTTTGAAGAAAGTGCTCAAACTGTCACATATGACAATAGCCCGCAGTTTTCAATTCACCAGCCCAATATATTGACTATTTAAACGATCATTTGATGAAGAATGAAATTACGCATCGAATGACACCAAAAACAACTTAAAATATAATATTCATGCAAAATGAAATATTCGTCAAAATACGGCTGAAAAAATGCCCGTACAGTAAGGCAGACAGAAAGACAGACAGAAAGACAGACAGATACCGTAACCCCCCTTCCCCTTCCCCTCCTTTTCCGTCATTTCATCTGTGAAAATTCGTAAATTTGGCATTTCTTGAAAACCAGTTTTTGAATCATTCTGAAAATTTGGATATAAGTTTGATTTTTGATTCTCTACAACTTTTCCATTGACACCAAAATGGGTTTCTTTTGAAGAAAGTGCTCAAACTGTCACATATGACAATAGCCGGCAGTTTTCAATTCACCAACCCAATAGATGAATTGATTATTTTTAAATGAAGTGTCCAAAGATTTCACAAAAACCATTCAGCCATCAAAAGCCTTAATATTTCAGGGTTCACTCGGCATCACCCGAATCACGAATCAATGCTCGAACCGAGATGGCTGCAATCCGGCTACAATGAAAACTTTCGGTTTCCTTTCCGTTCTCACTGTGATTCTTGGTTTGATTAGGTGGTAGACGTCATTTTTTTAGTCCCGGCAAAGTTTAGCCTAACAAGTTTAGCCTAACAAGTTTAGCCTAGCAACAGTTTCCCTTCTTTTATCAAATTGTTCTTTAATATTGTTCCAAAGTGTACTTGTGCTCCGCGTAAACACACCCTTCCTAGCGCTTTGAATTCCTCATTTTCCTCACACAATTTCTTGAGAAAAATAAAAAAAATTGGTTTGGCCACTGGTGCGCCAGAAAGCGTGCGTTTAAACGAGCACAAATAACATCAAGTTTAGCATCAAATTTTTTAAATATTATTGTATTTTTGCTTTTCCAACTGAATCTCTTTGTTAAAAAGCGAAAAAAAAACACTTTTTTTCTAAGGCAACTAAATATTTATTGCACACAGGCGTTCAACGGAGAGAAATTTCACTCAAAAAACACTGAAACCAACGAAAATATCACAACTTTTGCTAAAAATCTACAAAAAACCTGCAAAAATCTACAAAAAATCTACAAAAAACCTTCAAAAATCTACAAAAATCTACAAAAAATCGATTTAAATTAGGCAAAACATGCAAATTTTAAGTGGAATTGAAATTTGGTAAAAATTGGCAAATCGAATTTTCGAATTTTCGCATTTTCGAATTTTCGAATTTTCTTTTTGAATAAAGCTTCAGTAATCCCCGATAACGAGAGAGAGAAACATTCATGGGTGGATAAGGCAAAGGGAAAAGGACAATATTGTTAGTGTTGAATAAATAAAATATCGAAAACACCATAGTCATTCCAATAGCCGGTCATTGCCGTTTCATTTTCAACCTAAAAGCCTGGAAAATCGAGTTCCAATTGGTAGAACCAATAAAATGAATAAGCTCCAATCGATTCGGCGTCCCCGAAAACCCCCCGGGTACACATTTACAGCTGAATAACTTCTATTTGTGCCATCTATAAAGCAAAAGAAGAAACCCTGTGTAAATGACGGGCGAGGTGTTCTTTGTGCTGCCGCGTAATTGCTCGCGACCTGGCACACTTTCTCGATAGATAGGTGTGCATTTTGGAATTCCTTATCCATTTTCTCTGCACTTTCTCCCCCACTTTCTACCCTACTTCCTGCCCTACATTCTGCCCTACTTCCTGCCCCACTTTCCGCCCCACTTTCCGCCCTACATTCTGCCCTACTTACGGCCCCACTTTCCCCCTGCATTCTGCCCTACTTACGGCCTTATTTTCTGCCTTAAGACGAAGTGGTGAGCCGGCTTCTCCGCTTTGGAAGTCACTAGCCCCAAATTTTTGGGGTCGACTTTTCGGATCGATTTTTACCGTAATTTTAGCTCTATTTTTGGTTTTTGATGGTAACAAAGCTTTTTGTTTATATCTATTTTTTTTAAAAGCATTCTATAGTCCTTAAAATGTTCTAGATTTCTGATAATAGACAAGAGTTGGTAAAGCCAAAAAATGAAAAATTACGTTATCGACTTTCTGTTGGAATGATTACGGCAGAAAAAAATCTATCTAGATATAGAAAAAATAGAACTAAGAACCAGGCTTTCATCTAAATTTGTTCAAAAAAAAACTGGTATGGCTTTCATTTTTTCGAACCGGTATTGCTAACCATTTGCTGAAAGGTGAAAATCTAAAAGTCATGAAAATGAAAACGTGAAATTCTAAAAGTCGCTAACAACAAGGATACTGGCAATTGGTGGAATAATATAATATTTGGGCTAAAAATTTGAATTGGAATTCACAATTGAGCTATCCGAATGGGATTTTTGGTCCTTTCAATGGAGTGAGATGAGGGGGAAAAGTGATTTGATTTGAAAAAAAAAAAAAAAGCAAAAACAAAAACTTATAATAAATAACTTTGAGAATTGGTTTTATTAACTAAAAATTGTATTAAATTCAATAATTTCGAGGGGTGATGGAGTACGATAGTACTTTGTGTACAAAGGAGTACTTTGTTTACAAAGGAGTACTTTGTTTACAAAGGTGTACTTTGTGTACAAAGGTGTACTTTGTGTACAAAGGTGTACTTTGTGTACAAAGGTGTACTTTGTGTACAAAGGTGTACTTTGTGTACAAAGGTGTACTTTGTGTACAAAGGAGTACTTTGTTTACAAAGGTGTATTTTGTTTACAAAGGTGTATTTTGTTTACAAAGGTGTATTTTGTTTACAAAGGTGTACTATGTGTACAAAAGTGTACTTTGTGTACAAAGGTGTACTTTGTGTACAAAGGTATACTTTGTGTACAAAGGTATACTTTGTGCACAAAGGTACTTTGTTCACAAAGGTGTACTTTGTTTACAAAAGTGTACTTTGTGCTCGCTCATAAAAACGCACTGGCGCACTCTCTCGTACACTAGATTGCTCATTTTTTTTCCTATGGAACTGATTCCCAAAGGAATATTAAACTTCAGTATACCAGAAAGCGTGCTTTTGCTAGAACACAAAGTACGGCTCATGGAGAAGTGAAATTGAGAGCTTTTGAGGTAAACGCATGGCATCTGGCGTACAAATTACTGTGTGCTTTTCGATCAGTGTTTTTAAAAGAAGAAAAAGCTACCGTAATCCAGCTACCTATCCTATTTTAATGAAATTTAAGCTTTCAGGCCAAAGAGATAAGCTTGTTGGCTTGATTTTTCTACAACTTTTCGGCTACAAGCTCGGCTACAACTTTTCCTAGAGCAACTTTTAGAAAACGTTTTCTTTTATAGTACACCAGATGCTTAGCATACTATTGTCGAAGAAAAACAAGGATAAACTTTTGCAAAGCCATCGTTCCAACTCAAACAGGCGGCTCTCGATCATCGCTTCCTCTAAACAATCCCTGCAATGATTCCCTTTCTTGATTCTGTTCTTGTCTTCTCAAAATCGTCAATTGATTCTCGTTGTCCACTGAGCTTTGACTTCCTAAAAGTATTTCTTTCATTTAAATGAATTTTCAATTTGTCAAAGCGGGGAGACGAATCACGAAACGAGCGTCAGCTTACCACTTGAGCTGAAAAATGAGTTCAGCATTCCGTTTAGACTGCCTAGAGATTGAAAAGTTTAGAAATAGAAAAAGGAAAGCATTTTAGATAGAGTTATGCTTCGCTTTACTGTAGCTGTAAAAGGTTGTAAGCTGTCAAAAATTGTTTTGCCTGTGACCTAGTGCCTATAAGCCAGATAGAAAAATCACTACTATCTAGGTGTAGGCATTGGGTACAGTAGCATACATCAAATGCCAAGTTTCAAGTAACTTTCAGGTTTAAGGTTCTCGGACCCTAGAGGGCTAGCTACTTCCATGTTAGAACTCAGGTCCAGGCCTGGATTTGACTAGTCCAAGTACTTTTTCACCAGGAATCCAGATCACCAGGAAGTCAGATCACCAGAAAGAACCAAAGTCAGGCTAGAATCTGACTTCCGACATGTCGGAGATGTATGAATCTGCCTTACAGGCTGGAATATTTCTACTTTAATCTTACCTAGAAAAAACCCAACCACTACCATAATCATGTTAGCAAGTTTAGCTATTTTCTATAGAACTAGATTTAAAAACTAAATTATCTTTAGAAATTCGTAACCAGACAGAAAGCACTAAAAAAACAGGCAACAAGTTTTGTTCAGTTTTGTTCAGTTTAGTTCAACACCTTACAATGTATTAGTGTTATACGTTTTGTATACAATTTGTGTATGCTATACAGAATGGCCGACAATTATAGCGCCGCACTTCAGAGGGCCTAGATTGTCCAAAATTGGGTGAATTTTTCTGGAGGTAACTCTTAAGTATGTCTCCTTCAATGGTGCCCATTATCTAATCGATTCAACCATTCAACTTTTCTACATGACTTTCCAAAGTTGAAAGCCAAGTGTCGCTCGGCACTCATTTATGGGATTTTGAAAGTTACCGGATAGAAGTCTTGTCTCCTAGTCGGTGGGTTAAGGGTTCGTTTCCGGCGGCTAGAAAGATTGCTTCTTTTTCCCATTATTATGGGTTTTTTTCTTAACAACATTTGGGTAATAGGGGTAATTGGAGGTAAAAATTTCCTCCATATTGTGTTGTAATTCATTATTCGTGTCGAATAAATATACTCTTTTTACGCTGATCTCGAAAAACAACATTTCGATTGCAAACAAACTGTGAAAACGCTTCAAATCGAGAAAATTTGGGCGGTATCTCAAAATATGAGACGCATTGCATGAACAGGTTCAAAGCTTGAATCGATTAGAAAATGGGCACCGTTAAAGGAGACAAACTTAAGATTTACCTTCAGAATAATCACAACGATTCACTGAATTCTGGCCAATCTAGGCCAATCTGAAGTGCGGCGCTATAATTGTGGTCCACCCTAGCAGTACAGTAGATGCAGTAGCAAACAATACATTTTCCTTTTCAATCTTACCCATAAACGAGCTAGTCCTGCTGCCGGCATCTCTCGGCGAGGCTCCACCCTCTGTATGCAGACTGTCGCCGTGGATTCGACTCATCAATTCACCCCTGTAATAAAGAATTATAAATAACAAAGTACCAAAGATTGTATTACTATTCTTCTCAGGCCAAAATCCACCCAAAACAATTACCAGTTACAAAATTTACGACTAGTAACCGTTTTTTCATGCGTATTTTGTGCTCTTGTAAACGCACATTCTCCAGCGTACTGAATTCTTGATTTTCTCGCTACACCAATCCGTTGTTGCAAGAAAAACGACGAATTCAGTGGGCCAGAAATTCGTTTACATGTGTGAGCACAAAGTACTTGAGCATTTACAAAAACTTTTCTTTACACACACACACACACACATCCTGCAGCTTTTTAGTGACAAATATTTGACTCATTCTTTCCCCATTCATTCAATCTTTCCTGGACAATATTAGTACAAACATGCACTTTTTTGAGTTCAGCATTAGAAGTATTAGAAGATTTTCATTAAAATGGAACTCTCATCTCTTTTTTTACCTCATTGCGGCTCGAGAAAAACTTGAGACGCGATTCCTGGAGGGTTAAAGTTGAATGAGAAAAATAAGAAAAATTTACATTGAAAAATTAGTTTTCTTTCTTTTAATGTTTTTTTAAAGCATTAATCTTAAAATTAATTGCTTTAGCTCAAGAGATCATTCCGTTTTTGTTAACTACACTCCAAGTATACTTTGTGCTCAAATTTGTAAACGCATCCTTTCTGAATTTTTCATTTTCTTGCCGGAACGCTTTGACGACGCAAGAAAAATGAATTCAGTGCGCCAGAAAGGGTGTGTTTACAGGTTTGAGGTTTGGTTTTACTTTTTGATTGCAAAATATTACACAGGAATTCATTTTGCTAATTAAAATGTTCAAGAAAGAAAGAATGGAAATAAATTTGAGATTCTGATTCAGAAATGGTCAAAAATCGTTTAAAACCAGAAGCTAGTTAGGAAAAGGTTTTTCTTTTAATCAAATCTCAAGTCTCACCTTTGACTTGGTTGCCTCGAAAGCATCGGTTCAAACTCTTCATCGATTTCCAAAAGATTATCGGATGAGCCGAAACGAGACTCGGTGGAATCAAGCGATGTCGCCGCTCCATCATCGTCGAATCTCACCGAAGCACCCGATGAGAGGCCACCATTTGGAATATCACCTGAAATTAGATTTTCAAGGTACTGTAAGATTCATCCTGTTCAACTACAGTATGCCAAATCAATTGTGACTAAAGTGCTTTCCTAATCAACTAATCCATTTTCTAAAAAGGACAAAATTTTAGAAAAACTACCGTAGCCAGTTTCTATATCAGCCTAATTTTGATATCATTTGATGAGAAATCACAATTTTCAGCCAATGATACAAAAATCGAGCTGATTAGATGAAAACTGACGATGAGATTACGTTTTCGAAAATAGGTGTCTTTTAGCAAATGGATTACAATGAGAGATATTTAAACTTTTTTTAACTGAATCACATACTGTAACTTTTAGCATACTGCAATGACAGTTAACTTAAATTTTACAATATCTTTCACCAAGCGTTTTTGACCATAAAGCAGTTTAAGGGGAAATTTTGTAAATTGGATAGAAAAGAGAAAGAAAAACCCACGCCATTTGAATCCTTAAAGAAATTTTGAGTGACGCTTTGTGCACTTTGAGCTCAAATCAGTAAATAAACCTGGTGCTAGAGAATTCTTCATTTTCTTGCGACAACAAATCGTTGTCGCAAGAAGAAAATGAGGATTTCAGTGCACTAGAAAGAGTGCGCTTATAGATTTGAGCACAAAGTATCTCAATACAAGGTTGAGTTAGCGGTTAGCGTTTCTAATGAAATTATCGTGTGAATATTAGACCTGATAGCCCTTACTCAAATAGTTCCCCTACGCAAAGCGGCGATCTTCGGTGATTCATCTTCGTCTATACTTTTTTTAATGAAAAGATATTTGGGAATTACCAATAGTGCTCTAAAAGGCTCTGAAAGGCCCAATAGTGCTCTAAAAGTGCTCCAATACGACATTTAGCACCACACATAAAAGCGTATGAGCTGTAATTCATAGCTTCGCACATTTGATTGTCCACTTTGAAGTAAATGTCTATAGACTATGTCTAATAGATTATGTTTGACTCATTCCATCGATTTTTTTAATGTTTATTATGATATTTATATTATTTGTTGTTGAACACTTAAATAGAAAGACTTAAGCAAAAATTTTTGAATATTTAGCAATTATGAAGAGAAGGAGGATTAGGGAACATTATAAAACAGCTGCTAAAAAAAGAAAAACTTAAAGGGAGTCGAACCGCCAACCTAGAGCTTTGCATTCCGACACGTTATCCGCTACACTACGCAGCTATTTCTTTGTCGCGCGCGCGCAAGCGTTATAAGAGAGGCCAAGAACTTGTTTGCCAAATTCCTTGCGTTTCCGACCTATTAGGTTGGCAAGTTATAAACGATCGTTTTTGGGTAATGTGTTTTCTGAAAAAAACGGCTTATCCAATCAAAAAACCGTTTGCTTGATTCAAAAACCCTATCCTTAATCTACAAAATGGCTTTTTTGAATTTTTGAAAAATGTTTTATGTTAGAACTTTTTCAGGCATTTTAATGTAAGAGTTTAAAATCCTGGTTTCTAGCATTCATGAGCTATTATATTTTTGAGTGATTGCATACTTTTTAAAATAAAACGCTTCATCGATTACATAGTTTCCCAAAATTTCAGAACAATCTAATCTTCGGAAGGTTGATTTTCAAATTAGGTTTAAAATGCACTTTTGTGCTAATTTAATCCATTTTCGTTTGAATTTCAGCAAGATTAAAAAAAATGAAAGAGAACGGTTCGATCGATTGGATTGTTCTGAAATTTTGGGAAACTATGTAATCGATGAAGCGTTTTATCTTAAAAAGTATGCAATCACTCAAAAATATATTAGCTCATGAATGCTAGAAACCAGGATTTTCAACTCTTACATTAAAATGCCTGAAAAAGTTCCAAAATAAAACATTTTTCAAAAATTCAAAAAAGCCATTTTGTAGATTAAGGATAGGGCTTTTGAATCAAGCAAACCGTTTTTTGATTGGATAAGCCGTTTTTTTCAGAAAACACATTACCAAAAACGATCGTTTATAACTTGCCAACCTAATATTTAGCAAAAACGGACAGCAGATTCGGAATCAGCGTAAAATTCTGCATCGAATGGTTTAGGTTTCATTTCGATTGGCCACCTTGATTTCGTGACCTTGCCTTGTTAATTTTGATCCCATTCGATACACCGTTTGATTCCCAATTGAATAAGATGAAAAATTAAGTAAACCGGACACAATTTGAAAGAAGGATTACAGTTTTCCGAATTACTCACCTTTTAGACATTGCATAATCTTATAGTATCTGCAGTCAATAAAGTAAAGAAATGAATGGCAAAGTATTTGGAAGGGGAATTGAACCCTAGATCTTCTGCTTACAAGGCTGATGCTCTACCACTGAGCTATCGCCTTCTTTGCCCAAGAAGAAATAGGAAGAAGGAAGAAGAAAGACGAAAGAAAGGAAGAAGCTAAGCTATAACCGGTCGTTCCTCAGGTCCTGTGTAGCTTTGAACTGGCTGAACCGAAGCCAGCAACTGGCCTGGTCTGTCTTTTAGCTAGGCTTGTCATTTCAGAGTCAGACTAGCTGATTTATTCTGTTTTAGGTCATCTAGATTAGACTTAAGAATACTGATGATTGCATTCTAAATGAAAACTCTTTCAATCCTATACTTTGGGAAGCATCTTGGGTATAAAGCAGCCATTTCATAATATCCATTTAATTCAAACTTTCTCATCAAACTCACCCTCTGTCTCATGTGCATCCATATCGGCAAGACTTGCCATCAGTGCATCGTGCTGTCCATCAACGGTCATCTGTGTTGCGATCTCGCTCACTGTCGCCCGTTTTCGATAGGTGGGCAATGGAGTGTTGGCCACAATGCTTGGAGCCTGAAACTGAAGAAGTTTAAAAGGTACTTTGTATTGCTTTAAAGTTAGTGTAAAAGCCAAGTATCTAGTCTTTTACAATATCTGAGTCTAGCAATTCGATTATATAGAAGTGAAAAAAAAGTCACTCCTGAACTTAAAGAAACTCACCCTGCTAATGCTGTTCCGCCGACTCTCAAACTCTAGCTCTTCCTCGTGATCGTCCTCCTCCTCTTCTTCCTGAAATTTAAATAAAATTTACATATTTTTAGATACTCTAAACTCACTACTCGATTCTATTTCTTTCAAACTCACATGCAATATCGTAGTCATCCGCTTTTCTTGAGCCCTCGCTCCGGGAACGTTCGAGCCAAAAGCTCGCAATGTCTCGATCAGCAGTCGGAGTAGCGTCCAATCACCCAAAGGTAACTGAAAACAATAAAACTATATAACATTTATTTTATCTGAAAAAAAATCCGGGTTTTAAAAAGCTATCCTACGCAAAACCCAAAGCCAATTCGATTCTCTTGGGACTTTTCTTGGAACAAAGGGTTAGAATAAACTCCGCCAATAGATTCTACGACTCTGAAAGCCCTGTGACACAAATTTTTAACATTAAATCTCATCTGGGAATCGTTTACAGAACAAAAGAAAAATCACTTTTTGTTTTAAACGCATTCACATACCGAGAGCGCTCCCTGCAACTCGGGCAACTGACAAGTGGATAAAACAAGGCCGTTCAGGTTGAGGGCACGAAATTTCTCGATCAGTACGTCCAATCTAAATTTCGATTTGAATTAGTGGGTTTTTTTAGCTTTGAATGGTATTTCTATCGGCAAAAATTTGTGCATAATTTGCAAATGATTGTGCCCTTTCAAACGGAAGCACTTTCCGAGCTCTTATGCAAATTCTTGGGATATAAAATTAAAAATTAACATCTACAAGTATTTAGTAATCTCTCAAATCTACAAGTAATTTCTCAAAACACCTCTTCGCTGGTATATCCAAACGCTTGATGAGGCTGATGAGCTGCTCGATACGCGTCTCCGCTAACGGCACCTCCACCAGTTGCCAGGTCTTCTCATCCTGAAACGGGGAAAGTAATTTTTAAAGTTTAACAACTGCTTGACTTAACTGATTAGCTTAAACGCAGATATACTAGCTTAACTGCAACCATATGTTACGTCCGGTTAATACGTTAAGACGATTATTTATTCTTAATTGGACGTCCAATGAAGGATTTGTCAAACCAATTGTGTAAATGTGAAAAGCTTAATGCAAATCTGCTTGTTTCTAATAAATATCTAATATCTAATAAATGTTAGTTTCTGACACTGGGGATGAACACCAGTATATATGCAGTGTTTCGCGTCTTAATATGGGTCTTTTGTGCAATTCTGCAATTCACCATTCAAATTCCTGCAAAAATAAATCACTTGCTTGTTATTTTGTTATGTTAACATTATTTTATTATGTCAATTTTGTATTTTTTATTTTTTTTGTTTGTTGTTTGCAGTGTGTTACTTTCTTTGTTTTTTGAATAAAGTTATTGCAGAATAAGACGCAAAAATATCAAAGAAAATACTAGTAAATGTTTGAAAAAACTAGATTTGCCTCATTTGGCATTAAGCATTTCACATTTTTACACAATTGGTTCGATAAATCACATATATTTTTAACAATCGAGTGACTAATAACAATTTAAATAGCATATATTTAGCGAGTGGGACAAATGGTACCTTTTTTTCGCGCACCCGGACATTTGCGCACCTTTTTTCCGCACCTGGCCCATTAGCGCAACTTCTTTCGGGTTTTAAAAAGCTCTAAAAAGCTAATATCAACCAATTTCTATTCCAAAAGTGGTTTTCTGGGTAATTTTAGGGCGCAGAATTGAAATTTTGACATATCAGAGCTTGTGGAAGCAAACGAACGGAGTTATACATAGAGAAAAATCGACAATTTTCTGTAATTTGACCTACCCGTCTTTCAAATTGGTTTCTCACGCTTTGTTATGTCAAAATTTGGATCGTACGCCCTAAAACTACGCAGAAAAACAACTCTTGGAATAGAAAGTGGCTAATATTAGCTTTTTAGAGCTTTTTTAAAACGCGAAAGAAGGTGTGCTAATAGGCCAGGTGCGCAAAAAAAGGTCGCATTTCTCTCACTCCCTATATTTACCCATTATACCCATTTAAAACTAAAACATACCGCAAATAGATGCTTCGCGTTGGGTGGTAGTCGGAAAGAGCGTTCTTCGATTTGTGGCTCCTCAATGCCTTCGCGTTTTTCTAAAAGCAAATTTTAATCTACAATCTTTAAATGAAAAGTTGAAACTTTCTATTGAAACTATTCACTAAAGCTTGATATTACGCCTTGACTAGCTTCTAAGTTATCTTGGCAACTTTTAAACACTTTGTGGCTTTACAAAGTTTATGCAAGCTTTAAATCAGTTACTTTCAAAGAACAGTTGTTCAACAAATGTTCCACAAGCAAATTTTCAACAACAAAACAAACAACAAACAAATGTAACCAAAAAAAACCAACCTCGAATCAATTTCCTCAAATACGGATCGAGATTTGACGTGCATGGGACGAATTTTCGCACATGTGCCACCGTCAACTGTTCGGTGCCCTCCGCCGAAACGGCTCTCAAGAATGACTCAAAGTTCTCCGGGTTTCGATCCTAAAACAATCATTTATCGGATTTAAAAACTAGCTTTAGCTTTTTAGCTTTTTAGCTTTTTAGCTTTAAAAAGCTTTAAAAGGATTCAAAGGTAGCTTTCTATAAATTAAAATTAAAGCTAACTAACCTGTACAAACAGTGGATCACCTTTCGGGATGTGCTCTCTCAGTTGAATCCAGATGTCGAAAAGGGTGAGTGTGCTGGATCGAGCATCAACTGCATGCTCAATTAACCAACACATCCGGCATGGCCATTGCTCTAACATTGAGACCTAAATCCTTCAGTTAATCTACTTATTTTTCAACTAGAATATAGATGTTTCAAAAAATACCAAACAACGACTTGGCGGCGGCTTAAACTTATAACAAATGCGAGCTTTTTTTTGCGCACTCGGCCAAAAGCGTACCTTTTTTCGAAAAGGCCTTAGGAAAGGCCGTAGAGCTTTAAAAATGTTTCCACATAGGGGAATCATATGCGTAGATTCCAAATTTCGACAAATCAGACCTCGCTGACATGTCAAAAATTTGGGCTAAAAGGCAAAAACGGCGGAAAAGCGTTAAGTTGCGTAGTTTTTGCTTTTTAGCCCAAACTTGACGTTTCAACGAGGTCTGATTTGTCGAAATTCGGAATCTACGCATACGATTCCCTTCTTTGAAAACATTTTTAAAGCTCTAAGGCCTTTCCTAAGGCCTTTTCCCGCGGAAAAAAAGGTGCGCTTTTGGCCGGGTGCGCAAAAAAAAGGTACGCTTTTGGCCGGGTGCGCAAAAAAAAAGCTCGCATTTGTCCCACCCCCCATTTTTGGTGCCTTTTTGAAAGTCCACTGGCTTTAAAAAAGGAAGTTTCGTAAAATTCTTTTTATATTGTTAAAAAGAGAAGATATTGGAGTTTCTAAAAATACTAATCAACCCGGATCATCTTTACAATATATTACCGTAAATACTGTAATAGTACCCCAGCTCCATAATGACGGTGCGGAGTGTTGCGTAGTCTAGCTTTGAACGAGTTTTTCTCGACACTGGTTTATGCTAAAATGCGCGCTTAGGTATCAAAAAATAGCCCTGAATTTCAGCTATTTTTTGATAGCAAAGACGCATTTTTTGAAAGTACGGACGCTTTGAAAAAAATGAAATACTAAAAAACTTATGCGACTACGCGACTGTACGAGAGGGTGCGGTACTATTACAGTATTTACGGTAGGTACTTGCAAAAGAAAGTGCGAGTCAAAAAAGCCATCATATGGCTTAAAATTTTACTACCCCGGATATTGAAAGATCCCCTCCCGGATACTCCACAAGTAGTATGGCTAAATGTTTTAGACACTTTTTGGCCAAGCTTAGAAACTTTCCACCCACCCAATGTCCCAAGGACAACCACGAGAAGTCGATCTCGAACGCTCTGAGCAAACGTCCCGTCAACGTCAACGCATTAATGATTCTCCTCATTGCTCTCGGATTGATTGCTGAGAAATAATCATCGGCCATTAACGCCTCTCCCACGGATCTTGTTCCCACAGCGATCGCGCTTTGCGTCACTTTTCGTGATCCCGCACCCCGCACGTCGGCATCTCTGCAATAAAAAATTATGTGCTTTTTGTTAATCGCATTGTGCCAGAGAGATTGTGTTTCCCAGCGCACAAAGCACGCTATAATCGAATGCGATTTTCACCTCAAAGAAAGATGTGATCCATGAAAGGTGTCCTGTCGTCGGAATCTTTCTTTCCAATCCAAGTACGTTTCTCTTTTCTCCTAAAAATTCAATTTTTATTTTCCTTATTGATTCAAACCTTGAGCTTATTCTGCAATTGTCTCAGCGCCGAGTTGTGCAAGAAAAACGGCATGTTGACAATGTTTTTCAGGTAGTCGGCTCCGGTGAGCTCGGTGCCGGACAGTGCACTGGAAACGTGAACTTTTTGGCGTTTACAATTTTATAAATCTTTCAAATTTCTAAAACAAACCTGTGAATGTTGTGATTGATCGCTGAGATGATGATGTGTGGATCGACGGCGATGATCACCACGAAAGGACGAGTTTTGCGAGCGGAGAAGAGTAGCTCGAGAGCGTCCAGGGTGGACACCATTCGCTCTTGCTCACAGTTGTCCAAACCGTCGACCACCTGGAAATATAATGACAATGAGTGTCTCTAAAGTGATTACATTATACTTTATAGCTAGAGCTGGCCAGGTCAAATTAAGCTAGAGCTAGCAAGGCCATACTAGAGCTGGGACCAGCCAAGCTAGAACTGACCAGGCCATGTTAGAGCTGGACCAGCCAAGCTAGAGCTGGCCAGGCCAAGCCAAGCTAGAACTAGCCAGGTCAAGTTAAGCTAGAGCTGGCCAAGCCAAGCTAGAGCTAGCCAGGCCAAGCCAATCTAAAGCTGGCCAGGCCAAGCCAATCTAAAGCGGGCCAGGCCAAGCCAAGCTAGAGTTGGCCAGGCCAAGCCCAGCCAGAGCTGGCCAAGCCACTCAATTTTAGCCTAATCCACTCACCACAACAAGCCTCGTTTGACTGTTCGTGAAAGCGTCGAGCGAGCGAATCATATCCGCCAACAAATCCACCTCGGTTTGCAGCTTTTGCATGAGGCCTAGATTTTTATGGTAAAACGAATAGACATTACATGATTCTAGGAGTATTGTAACAAATCGTATACTTAAATATAAAGCTACTCACTCACCTTCGAATCTCAATTTGTGCACAGCCCGGGCAGCCGAGTTTATCCGAGCCTTCGGAACATTGTGAGTGCCATAGCGAATCGTTAAAAAGAGTGGATAGGCCATCATCAACACGAGAAACGCAAGAAAAACGAGCGACACGAAGAAATAACTGAAATTTGAATATTATTATTTTTAGTACAATTATTGGTCTCACTGTGAACCCTTGTTGAACAACCAAGCCATGAGAAAACCCTCGAAGAGGACCAATGCGAGAAGGATTGCTGTTGCGATCAGCACAACGGGGACACCGCAATGACGACGCAATGAGCCGTGGATTGAGGCTAAATTCGATTGAGAAAGTAGGGTTTGATTTGAAGTTCGAATCTGTAAACAATTTTCTATGACTATATGATAGGCTTTGGAATCCAGATTCGAAAACCAGACGGAATCCAGGCGCTGGCTTTGGCTTAGGCCTTCTAAAGCCAGGTGCTGGCTTTGGAATTCAGATTCAAAGATCCAGATCCAGCTTCGAGATCATTCACAAAAAGAAAAGTCATTGTAGTATAATAAAGGGTGACAAGAAATAACCAGTCCTTACATTTTAACCTCAAGCTCTCTAGATAATGCAAAAATGGCCTATGAATCCTGCAAAGTCCTCTAGTCCTGTAAAGTCTTGTAGTCCTGTAGTCCTGTAAAGTCTTGTAGTCCTGTAATCCTGTAAAGTCTTGTAGTCCTCTAGTCCTGTAAAGCCTTGTAGTCCTCTAGTCCTGTAAAGCCTTGTAGTCCTGTAAAGCCTTGTAGTCCTGTAGTCCTGTAAAGTCTTGTAGTCCTGTAGTTCTGTAAAGTCTTGTAGTCCTGTAGTCCTGTAAAGTTACCTAGAGAAACAAATTTTCATTATTAAGTCCCTAAGGGTGTCTACTTATCATGTTCATAGACCATTTTGTCTAGGCACATTATCTAGAGAGTTTGAGGCTAAAATGTAAAGGCTTTTATTTCTTGTCACGCTGTACAGTGTGGTTAAGACTGACTGTAGTAATCGCTCCAATTGCTTCCACGTAGCGCGCAAAATATCCGTACAGGCAACGCCCCATAGTGACTTTCAGCTGCTTCAAAAAGAGTGACCACGATTTTCGCCAGCGCTTGCTCGCCACCAATCGACGATAGACGATGATAGTCGGCGAAGAGGAAAGAGACCGGATTCGATACCATATCTTTTTCCGAATGTTGTGGAGCATATAGCATGATGACGTTGAAGAGTAATCTGAAGGGGGAGTTGATTTATCCTGTCCAGAAGCTGCTTTTGAAATCTACAGTTCTAACAGTTCTAACAGATCTAACAGATCCAACAGATCCAACAGATCCAACAGATCCAACAGATCAACAGATCAACAGATCCAACAGATCCAACAGATCCAACAGATCCAACAGATCAACAGATCCAACAGATCAACAGATCCATCTAATCGATTTAACAGACCTAATAGATCCAACAGATCAACAGATCCAACAGTTCTAACAGCTCTAACAGCTCTAACAGTTCTAACAGTTCTAACAGTTCTAACAACTTTCTAACATTTTTAAGCTGCTTGCAAGTTTCATATTTATCTCATGTATAGTGAATGTTCTTTTCAAGCTCTAAGCTTTTCAAAAAAACCCACTTGATATGGGCAAAAGCTCTCGCGATGTACTCAGCTATCGTCATACTTTTCACCCACATTCGCACCTCGCTACCATAGTAAGTCATACCTAAAATGGCTGAATTCCTTCAATCTTGCTAGACTTACAATAGCCCACTGCTAACAACAAGTATAACAAGAGTCCAATGACGCCGGTGCCGATCAAAATTTGCGGGATTCGAGAGATCGAGACGATCGTCGCCACAGTCATCGAAATGATGAGAACGGTGACGAAAATGTAGAGAAGCACTGGGGCTGACCATCTGAATTAGCTTTTTTATCTTGCTGAATATGCAGTTACTCAACATTTGTTTTAAAAAAACCTTAATTCTATGGATTAAACCTTAAGCTATGGATCGCTATGGATCGTGGATCGCTAAGCTATGGATCGCTAAGCTATGGATCGCTAAGCTATGGATCGCTAAGCTATGGATCGCTAAGCTATGGATCGCTAAGCTATGGATCGCTAAGCTATGGATCGCTAAGCTATGGATCGCTAAGCTATGGATCGCTAAGCTATGGATCGCTAAGCTATGGATCGCTAAGCTATGGATCGCTAAGCTATGGATCGCTAAGCTATGGATCGCTAAGCTATGGATCGCTAAGCTATGGATCGTTTACCTCAATTGAATCCCGTCAAGCCAACTCCTTGAGAAACTACGCATCGACTCCTTGACTTTTTGCAGTAATACAGATTTCCCGGATCCCCATTTCGCGTATAGACCTGAAGAGACAGAAGATTTAGATTTGGCCAACAATAGGTATTAGCGATCTGATTGGACAAGAGTTTGGTTTGAAGCCGGTCAAGATCCAGGTCAAGATCAGGCTTCCAAACAATCCCCATTTCGCCACCTGGCTTCTGAATTGATCCAAAATTGATCCAAAACTGATCCAGAATGATCAAAACAACTCTGATTTTGGTGAATTTTAGCTTTTTTTCTTATAAGGGAATGACACCAACTAGAAGTCGCTTCAGAATCGCTTCACCAGATCACCAGATCAAATCACCGAGTGTAATTGTAAGTTTTACGACATTGCATGACATTGTATGACATTGCACGCCATTAGAACTGGTAAAAGAGTGCATAAAAAACAAATATTTAATGTAAAGACATTAGAAAAAGATTCTCCAAAAAACGAAAAGAATTGGCTGGAGGAGGATTTGAACCCGAGCGAAGAGACCTGATACGCTCAACAGGCTAGCACCCTATCCACTATACTATCGACGCCGTTAAGGGGTTCTCTGTGGCGGCCTCATGAAGGGTCCGAAGGGGAATTTTCTTTCTATTTTAAGGCAATTTTTTTGGATTTTAATTTTTTATTGGACATTGCGTGGGTTTTTGCCGCTAATTTCTACAGATTAAGAATCAGCATCGCCGATTCTATGTCATGCACTCGGCGATTCTGAACCTCGGGGCGGTGCCATTCCCTTCTTAGCCTTGTCACTCACCCAATGTCAACGGTAAAGACGCTAGAAAAAGATTTTCCGAAAAAGGAGGAAGAATTGGCTAAAGGAGGATTTGAACCCGGGCGAAAGGACCCGATACAGTCAATAGGCTAGCATGCTATCCACTAGACCACCGAAGCCGTTGAGGGGCTCCACTGTGGCGGCCTCATGAAGGCGCCGAAGGGGAGTTTTCTTTGCATTTTAGGGCAATTTTAAGCAAATTTTTCATTGGACATTCCACGCGATTGCGTGGGTGTTTGGAGCTAATTTCTACAGATTCAGAATTAGCATCGCCGATTCTATGTGATGCACTCGGTCACGAAGCGATTCTGAACCTCGTGGCGGTGTCATTCCCTTCTTAGCCTTGCCACTCACCCAATGTCAACGGCAATTGTAGATTTGGCTCGCAAAGGATGTCAGCGATTACATTGCTAAATCGCTTTATTAGTTAAAGATGTAGATCTTTATTTGTAGATCTTTTTAAGCTTTATTTTCTAAAAGCTTAGTTTACCTATAAATATCATATCCAAGCATTGCATCGAGGTGTTGTTCGGCGTCTACTGGTCCAAAAATTAACGGCAAAATCGGTTGCGGATTTTGTTGATCGATCGAGTACGGGGTTTGGCCTGAGTTTTAGATTTTTAATTAAGTTTTAACTCTCTTTTTAGCTACAGTAACTTTACATTTGTGATAACACTAAAGTAGCCCTTCATTCAACAAACTAAGCCTAGTTTTCTTGAATGAAATTCTTTTTTCAATGCAATGGCAATGAAATTCAATGCAACTTCAGTACTCAAAGCACTTAGAATTAGATTTTTAGGGTTTTAAGCACTTAGAATTCGATTTTCAAGCTTTTAAGCACTTAGACTGAGATTTTTAGGCTTTTAAGCACTTAGAATTCGATTTTTAGGCTTTTAGGCACCTAGAATTAGCTTTTTAGGCTTTTAAGCACTTAGAATTAGCTTTTTAGGCTTTTAAGCACCTAGAATTAGATTTTTAGGGTTTTAAGCACTTAGAATTCGATTTTCAAGCTTTTAAGCACTTAGAATGAGATTTTTAGGCTTTTAAGCACTTAGAATTCGATTTTTAGGCTTTTAAGCACTTAGAATTGGCATTTTATAGAATATTAAAGTATTTAACAATAAATTGATTCGATATTAACTATAAGTTTTGAATTTGTAAAGCCTTACCGAGTTTATTTGGTCGATAGAGAAGCCGAGAATCCTGCGGATTTGTCAGCAAAACTGTCGCCAATCGTTTGCTTCTTGCTCTGAAAAAAGTATGTAGAATGGGCACTACAAACGTAAACTACAAACGTAAACTACAAACGCTTCTAACTCGCTTCAAATCTGTTGGATTATTATGAGCTATGGCTCAAAATCTAGCTCATAAAGATCCATAGAGCCCATAGAGATCCATAGCCCATAGAGCTCATAGAGAATCTCAAGAGCTTTCGAATAGACTAAAACATATTGAAAAATATGAATTCTAAAGAAAGCTACAGTGGTTCAACTCGAGACGGACCGTACTCGCCGTAGTCGAAGCGATAAAGTAACTACAAATCACTGTAACTTTCTTTAGAATTGATATTTTTCAATATTCTTTAGTCCATTCGAAAGCTCTTGAAATTCTTTATTTTTTGAGCTATAGATCATCATAATCCGGCAGATTTGAAGAAAGTTAGAAGGGTTTTTAGCGTGAGAGTTCGTCATTTGTAGAGTGTCGATGTCTAGCTTGTAGCTAATATAGTTCTATGCAGATCTCTATTGACTCACCTCAACGCCAAATGCAAAGCATTATCTCCCTCTTTGTCGGTGGCGCTGATCTTCGCGCCGGCTTTCACTAAAAGATCACACAAAGCAACGTGGCGACTCTTCACCGCTCTCAACAATGGCGTTTCTCCATCCTAAAAGCTATTGCTTTATTTTTACTCTTTAAGGCCTCGAGTTATAGACTGTTCAAGTTGATCAACTTTTGTAGGTAAGTAGGTCAACTTGAGTAGGTCAACTTGAGTAGGTCAACTTGAGTAGGTCAACTTGAGTAGGTCAACTTGAGTAGGTCAACTTGAGTAGGTCAACTTGAGTAGGTCAACTTGAGTAGGTCAACTTGAGTAGGTCAACTTGAGTAGGTCAACTTGAGTAGGTCAACTTGAGTAGGTCAACTTGAGTAGGTCAACTTGAGTAGGTCAACTTGAGTAGGTCAACTTGAGTAGGTCAACTAGAGCCGTTCAACTAGAGCCGTTCAACTAGAGCCGTTCAACTAGAGCCGTTCAACTAGAGCCGTTCAACTAGAGCCGTTCAACTAGAGCCGTTCAACTAGAGCCGTTCAACTAGAGCCGTTCAACTAGAGCCGTTCAACTAGAGCCGTTCAACTAGAGCCGTTCAACTAGAGCCGTTCAACTAGAGCCGTTCAACTAGAGCAGCTCAACTTTGATGCAACTTTGATGCAACTTTGATACAACAAACTATTGCTTTTTTACTCTTTAAGGTTTAAAGGGTTTTTACTCAAAGCAAGTGTTTTAAACTCTAAGCTGTAGCCAGGATTGTTTTTGAACGAAATTTCCTAGCCTAGGAACGAAAATAGCCAAGTTCTAAGATAGCCAAGTCAAAACCAGCCTTTCTGTCAAGTTTTCCACGAAAAAGATTGCATTTTCGATTTTTTACAAAAAAAAACATTGTGCCAAATGTTTTGTTTGTTTTGTTTTCAATTCTCTATCTAAAACTTGCCACTTTTGAAATAAATTAGACATTTCCCAGGTACTTTTCCGAAAAAAGTTGTTGCTATACAGGGTGACCAGAAGTAAGGCTCCGCATCGGCCGTGCACTCCGGCCGAGCTGCGGCTCATCGCCGAAAACTTCATCAAGCGTTTGAGGCTCTGCATCGCAGCCAAAGGTGGCCAGTTTGAAGAAAAGTAGATTTTATGTTCTCTTTATATCAGGTTGTTAATAAAAAATTGTTTCTGTTACAAAATCTTTTTGGATTTTTAAAAAAATAGGCTAAATTAGGCCGCAACGTTATTTCTGGTCACCCTGTACTTTACCGTCACTTTGTACACTATAAAAAGTGTTCAGCCGATGTTTAGCCGTTGTTTATTATGTAAAATCAATCCATCAATCCAATACAAATGCAAAAAAACGAACCTTATTCTTATTCTCAAGATTTGGCCTCTTCTCTAATAACAGCAAAACGATATCCATGAAGGATTTGTCGATCGCCAAATGGAGGGGCGTTCGGTTTTCCTGGAAATGATTGATTTCAGTCTATTGTCTATTGATTCCAGTCTATTGTATATTGATTTCAGTCTTATTGTCTATTGATTTTAGTCTATTGTATTGGGTTGTCCAGTTATGGATGCGCGTTTTTTACTATTTTTTAAATTTCTCAAGATACCGAAATCAAGAAAAAGATATATATGAGTATTATTCGAAAGTTGAAGATCTCCTCTACATTTTGATATAAAAAGTTTTTGAATTTGTTCAACTTTTGGGCAAATTGACTGCACAGAAGAAGAGGTGGCCAAAAAATGGAAGGGATCAAGTCTTTGGATCAAGTTTTGGCTCCGCTCAAATTGAGTTAACCGTTTGATGTTTGGCCAATAGATATATCAATACAACTTTTTTAAAAATATACCAATGTCAGAGCATCTTTACTTTTTTTTTTCTTTTCTGGGCGGTTATTTTACACCATAAAACCTGAGGAATAGCTAAGCTGGAATGGGTTTTTTCGAAAACGACCTCTCCCTTTGTGCAGTCAATTTCCCAAAAGGTTGAATAAATTCAAAAACTTTTTATTCCAAAATTTAGAGGAGATCTTCAGCTTTCGAATGATATATAACACTCATAGACATCTGTTCGATATCCTGAGAAATTTACAAAATAGTAAAAACGCGCATTCATAACTGGACAACCCAATATATTGATTTCAGTCTTATTGTCTATTCATTTTGAGTCTATTGTATATTGATTTCAGTCTTATTGTCTATTCATTTCATGTCTATTCATTTCATTTTCAATTCATTTCAATCTACGATATCGGTATGGACAAATTCAGAATACAATTTTTGCTCAAATCTCACCGAATCTTGACAATTGATATCTGCATATTTGTCAATCAACATTCGCACGATATTCGCATTTCCTGATCTCACTGCGCTCGCCAGAATCCAATTGCCGAATCTGGAAACAAGAATTTCTATGAATTTCTAGCCAAACTTTTAAGTTTCCCTTTAAGTTTAAGTTTTTTTTGTTCTATTAAAGAATATTCAGCTAAAGAAATGAGTTTCATGCGTTTTTCTGATCTTTTCTTTGATCTTTGATCTTTGATATCTTTGCTTTGATATCTGAGCTTTGATATCTGAGCTTTGATATCTGAGCTTTGATATCTGAGCTTTGATATCTTTGCTTTGATATCTGAGCTTTGATATCTTTGCTTTGATATCTGAGCTTTGATCTCTTTCCTTTGATATCTTTGATCTTTGATCTCTTTGATATCTTTGATCTTTCTAATATCTTCCAGTTTCTTCTAATTAGTTCAGCTAATCAAAAAATTAGATCAAAGATCAATTTCTAATCTGTTTCTCAAAATTTTCCCACCGATCACACTGATTCACAAAGGCGCCCGTTTTAATCAACGAATCACAAATCTCCACGTAACCTTCGCGAGCCGCGATTGATAAAGCCGAGAGACCGTTCTAGAAAATAAAAGAAAAGGATTTAGATCTACAACTCTTACCACTCACCTGGTCAACGACATTCACATTTGGATCTCTTGACAACAAAAGATCGACCACGTGCAGGTAATTCCCTCTCGTGGCCAACATAAGCGCCGTTGAAGAATACTAAATGAAGACTTTTATCAACACTGATTTACGGTAACTCAACAATGACTTAAGCAGACCAGAAATCAGTTTCAGCTCTAGGGCAATTAGTAAATGTCTTCATGCTGAGCTCTAGCAGGCTGAGCTCTAGCAGGCTAAGCTCTAGAAGGCTAAGCTCTAGAAGGCTGAGCTCTAGAAGGCTGAGCTCTAGAAGGCTGAGCTCCTGAGCCTGAGCATGGCATGAAACATCAAGCATAAAGCATGAATTTTACTAGTTGCTCTGAGGTTTTCTGTGAACCCAGGTCAAGAGGAAGAAGGGAAGAACCTGATTTCTGGTCAATCAAAACAGGACCTGACTTCTAGCCTGACTCTGCAGCTTCCAACCTTGTAAACCAGACCAGAGACTGAGTTCTGTTCTCTGGCTCAGACTCTGGTTAGCTTGACCCAGAAGGAAATATCTTTGAATAAAAATGCGATTAACGACTATCTTCTATTAAACCCACCATTCCCACAGCATCCACTTCAGCGCCAGCATTGAGAAGTAGCTGAACAACCGGCAAATGACCCTTCCTCGACGCCCAAATCAGCGCCGTTGAGCCGAATTTATCGCAAGCGTTCACCTAAGGAAAAGTCAACGTTCAACTCTTTATAAGAGTTTGGAGGCGACTAATTTTACAACAAGATTCAAAAGTGAGAAACAAAGGTTGATTCTTGTAGTGATTAACAGCTTTTTTATTGAATTAACAGTTTTAAACTCAAAGTGACGTAGTTTTTCTAGTTTAAAGTAGTTTTTTGTTCAAACCTGCGCATCATGATCGATGAGTATTCGGGCGCAATCAGCAAATCCTCTTCCCGAGGCGACAATCAATGGAGTTAAACCATCCTCCTCGTCAATCAGATTTACGTGAGCCCGGTGCGCCAATAGTAACTCAACAGCCTGCAAAGTTTTGCTACTAACAAAGCCTAACAAAGTTTCAAGTTAAAAATGAAAGCCGTTTTTCTATTCTTCAATTCCTATTTCTAGAAATCAAAAGAATTGTATTGGAACCGTATTGGAACCGTATTGGATCAAAAAAGAACCGTATTGGAACTGTATTGGAACCGAATTGGATCAAAAAAAGAACCGTATTGGAACCGTATTGGAACCGTATTGGAAATAGAATAGAATTGTTATGAAAGGCTTAGAATTGTTATGAATGGCTTAGAATTGTTATAAATGACGTAGAATTGTTATGAATGGCTTAGAATTGTTCTGAATGGCCTAGAATTGTTATGAATGGCCTAGAATTGTTATGAGTGGCCTAGAATTGTTATGAATGGCTTAGAATTGTTGTAAATGGCTTAGAATTGTTATGATAGGCTTAGAATTGTTCTGAATGGCCTAGAATTGTTATGAATGGCCTAGAATTGTTATGAGTGGCCTAGAATTGTTATGAATGGCTTAGAATTGTTGTAAATGGCTTAGAATTGTTATGATAGGCTTAGAATTGTTCTGAATGGCCTAGAATTGTTATGAATGGCTTAGAATTGTTCTGAATGGCCTAGAATTGTTATGAATGGCCTAGAATTGTTATGAGTGGCCTAGAATTGTTATGAATGGCTTAGAATTGTTGTAAATGGCTTAGAATTGTTATGATAGGCTTAGAATTGTTCTGAATGGCCTAGAATTGTTATGAAAGGCTTAGAATTGTTATAAATGACTTAGAATTGTTATGAATGGCTTAGAATTGTTCTGAATGGCCTAGAATTATTATGAATGGCCTAGAATTGTTATGAAAGGCTTAGAATTGTTAGAAATGGCTTAGAATTGTTGTAAATGGCTTAGAATTGTTATGAAAGGCTTAGAATTGTTATGAATGGCTTAGAATTGTTATGAAAGACTTGGCAAAGAGTGTTTATCACTCACAACTGGTTGATTCTTGTACACAGCCCACATCAACGCCGTCCAGCCCATCTGAAATAGTTCAATTGATTGATCAAGCTAATGAATGAGTTTTTTCATCACTTTGAGAAGTAGATCAAAAGTAGAACAACTTAATATTGATAAGCGCTTAGATAAAGTTAAGCTTTAATTTAAAAACTCACCAAATCTGGTTGATCCACCGAACATGTCGCCTCCAATATTAGGCGAACGCATTCTGCATGACCGTTCCAAGCCGCCACCAACAAAGCACTCCAACCGTCCTGAAATGGAGATTTTAGCTGTTAAAATCGCAGATAGGAGCCTTTACTGGTAAAATGAATAGCCCCAATCGATTCGCCGTCCCCGAAAACCCTCGTGTACAAATTTAGGGCTCAGATCATCTTTTGGGGCCATCTACAAAGCAAAAGAAAAATCCTGGCGAGGTGTTCTTTGTGCGGCTGCATAATCGCCCACTTTCTGGCACACCTTCCCGATAGATAGGTGTCCCCTTTTCGAATATTTAATGCACTTTCCGCCCCAGTTTCGACGCACTCTGTGCCCCGCTTTCGGGTTCACTTTCGGCTCGACTCTCTGCCCCACTTACCGACTCACTTTCGGCCGCACTTTCTGGTCGACTTTCTGGTCCACTTTCTTGTCCACTTTCTAGTCCACTTTCTGGTCCACTTTCTAGTCCACTTTCTGGTCCACTTAACGCCCCACTTTCCGCCCTACTTTTTGCGCGTCACTATGCACAATTCCCAAATGTCGCTGTATTTTTGATAAAAATTCTGACCCTCTAAAACCATTGCTTTACTCTTAACAGCAGGTAAATGGAGAGAACAGTACGTGGCTTGAGCACTTTGTTAGTACGTGACTTGAGCGCTCGATTTTCTCGGGATTCCTTAATCCAATCAACCTCTATTAGGTAATATTTAAAAATCCGAAGCTACAAAAGTAAAAATTAATAGATTTTAGATTCACTAAACTGGTTTTTAAGTCTTTGAAGTCTTGTCCATTTCAAATTTCATTTATGGGGCCTAGTAAAAAGAGTTGGTTATCGGAGATTTGTTCGGAGATTGGAGATGTTAAGCGCCCTGCCCCTTTTCCCATTGGCAATCTAACTTTGAACTCAAATATCTCGGTGTTAAACTGTTCAATTTGCATCTTCTTGGGATCATTAGATTCGCCAAATCTTTCTCTATCGATTGGTATAAAAACTATTTAAATTGGATAGCTCAACGCCAAGAAATTTGAGTTCAAAGTTTTGCCAATGGCAAATGCCCGCACAAACAATACAGCTCTTTATTCATTGGGATTACGCTGAGTAAACGTTTAAATCTAGTATTTAGATATAAAATTTAGATATCTAACGTTGTTTGTATCTTCTTTTAACCCACATTATCCGTATCATCGGTGTCACTCTCCGGGAGAACGTGCTTCACGATGGGCACATTGTTGACCCGCGCGGCCACCTGCAGCAACGATTCACCGGTCTGAAATTTGTACAATAACTTATAGCTAAATTTAAAAGCTAGAGTAACTAGATAATAAAACGATAATAACTATGTATTACATTTTACAGAATCCCTTTACTCACCTGATTTCTCAGTCCGCCCAATTCGGCGTTCGCCACGAATTCTCCTGAGACGTCCTCGCCGTTTTCGACCTAGATTTTTAAGAAAATTTAGAATTATTTCTATTAGGTTGTCCAGTTATAAATATCCGCAGAATATGGCGGATGCGAGAGAGTTTCCCAGCTCAACTATTCGAGTTTTTCCTGAACAATCTTTACAATGTGTGGACGGGCGTTATCTTGAATGAACTTTATGTTTGAAAGATCAAGACCTTTTTGTAGCAAAACATTGTTCACTTTTTTCAGTTATTGTGCATACGTTTCAGTGTGCATACGTTTCACCCGTGAAGATGAAGCTGACATTCAAGCGGCTACTCAACTCGTTCCCAACATGCTTGATCAAGAGGTAGCTTTCAATGGGGAAATTGTAAAAGCTTTTGCTACAAATAGCTGCTGGAATTCCTGCCAATAAAATCATACTCGGTGGGTTCTCGATGGGTGGTGCATTGGCTCTGACCTATCCACAAAAGCTTGCTGGTATTGTTGGACTATCATCCTTCCTGGTTCAACGCAACAAAATCCCAGGTGTAAGTGCTTTATAAAATTTGTCATATTAGATCAAAAAATTATTATAATCATAATAGTATCATAAAGTATGTGCAAATTTAAGCAGCTCAAAATAAACAATGCCTTGGGAATTCCACCAGACCTAAGGTATTCCACCAGACCTATGCTGCTGTTCAAGAGCAGGTGTGCATTCATAACTGGACAACCTAATATTATCTAGAGATTTACAATAGTGTATAAGATTATCTACAATAGTATAAGATTATCTTTTATAAATAGAAATTTAAGTTTTTTTTTTGCCTTACCTGCTCAAAAACCTGTTGCACTTGCTCGTTGCTCAGCGACGAGGGCATCTGAGCGGCCACCTGAATGGGCAAATTTACATATTGTAAGCCTAATTTGAATCTAATTTAAATCTAATCTAATTTCTTTCTTATTTCTTAAATAGATGATTATATCTGATAGCTAGATATGCAAAAATTAATCCAGCAAAATTGGAAACTAATCCAGGCTTCGCGAGTAAAACAAAAATCTTTTGATTAGATCTTTTGATCAAGTAAAATAATCAAATTTTTTACAAATTTCGCTAAATAATATCTAATATTCGATTATTTAATAAGGTTTTCTATAGATTTTAAAGTGTTTTAATAATAATACTTTATTCAAACGATAAAGTGAAAGAAATGATAGAGAAATGCACAGTGATACTTAATCATACAATACATACTGAAATCAATAAGCCAATTACTTACGGCAAAGAGCCACTAGATCTAAAGCATCGATACGTTTCTTGAATATGAAAAGCGACTGAATTTCTCGTATGTCGTTTGGGAGCAAGTTCCATAATCTAGCGGCTCTAACGGGAAATGAATTTGATAAAGAGGAATGAATTTAATGCTTTAAAATCCCCGGTTTTTGGGTTTGATTTTGAATTTAAACTTATCTCTTCGCGGAGAAATCCGCCTGATTTACCGTTGAATTTAAGAGAAATATACAAAAAGAAATACAGTATACAAAATGTCTTTTATTTAAATATTTAATCTACTTTATCTTCTACATAACTTTATCGTTTGATTTTCTTCGTGTAATCAACCTATTTTTTGACCTTAAAACCTACAAATTCTACCTAGAAATTGACTGGATTTTCGGGTTTAATTATTAGGGTGATGGGAATGAAACTAGCGCTCAAATATCTTTCTAAAAATAAAGAGATTGCAAGCCTCAGTCAATAAGTGTTGTGCACTATTCGAAAGCTCTGAATCTCCTCTACAAAGTAGTTCAAAAAGATTTTGAATTCGATTGATTATTAAAGACTTGAGTGACTTTTAAGTTAAAAGATCAAAAATTACATTTTCTGGAAAATGTGTTTCTGGTAATATCGGGTTTTCCATTAAAAATACCGCTAATTAAAGTTATTTCAAAATAACATAAAAGAAAAGAAGGCTCTTGCTTAGTTTCCGGCTATTTTAAAAGAATCTTCTTTGAAACCATCCGGGTATTTTAAAAGAATCCGAGTCTTTTGAAAGAATTCTGATCTTTGAACGAGTCGTCACACTTTGAAAGCCTATAACTCTGTCTAGAGATCATATTTTTGCTAACTTTTTATATCATTGTAGAGAAGACATTTCAGGCTTTCAAATGATACCAAATAGAGCTTGATTGCTTTTTTTATTCCCATGAAAACCAAGCGACATAACAGCCGAGTTGGATGTGCCTCATTTGCTCAGAGTTGGCTCTGATTTTCCTGGACTTGGTTATCCAATCCAGCTTTATTTGGTGTCATTTGAAATCCTGAAATGTTCTCTGTACAATGATATAAAAAGTTAACTATAATATTATTTCTGAGCAAAGTTATAGGCCTTCAAGGTGTGACGATTCGTTCAAAATACCCGGATTTTTCTAAATACCCGGATTCTTTTGAAAATACCCAAAAACTACGCAAGAGCCGACAAGAACTCCTTTTGTTTGTTCGTCTTCTAGAGCTAAACCTTTTTTCTCGAAAAAGCCCGATTTTAAGCCAATTACTGATTTTGAGCCTTACCATCTCCTCGATTCTTGTATGCGAAAAGCGCGAGCGTTTCAAGTGCACCATTAACAGAATAGGAGAGGAAAATAACAGAGAATGGATAAAAGATGAATCTTCTTTTAAAAGCTATTCAGTTAGCCTCAAATGCGTCATCAAATGTGGCCTTTTCCACATAGATCTTGATGATTCAAGCTCTTTTTCTCTGTTTTCCCAAAAGCCATTCAAACGATCGATTTTTCAAAAAAAAAAGAGTCGATTTTTGAAGATAGATTTCGAAGATAGATTTCTAGGATTTTAAAGTTTGAAATCTATCTTTAGATTTGAATAATTTGAATAATTCTATTAAGAATTGTGTAGAAATTGAGTGGGTTTTTGTAGCCAAATTGTAGAGAATTTGTTGTTGAATTGAGCTTTAAAATAATGGAAAATGATTGAATAGTTGAGAAGTATTGAAGAGATTTATTGAAGAGATTTATTGAAGGGGTTTATTGAAGATCTTTATTAAAGCTCTTTTTTGAAGATCTTTATTGAATAGCTTTATTAAAGCTCTTGATTGAATAGCTTTATCGAAGCTCTTTATTAAAGCTCTTTATTAAAGCTCTTTATTCAATAGCTTTTAAATATTGTATATCTTTAATATTTTGATAGCTTAGCATTAATCCAGACTGGATTTCCAGGCAAAAATAGCCAGAATTCTGAGGGGAAATAGCCAGAATATCGAATGGCACTTAGAAGCTTTGGAACATTCAATAAATCACTTTGAAACGATAACTTTCAAACGTAATATTCAATATTTAAGGAATTAAATTTCCTTATATCTTTAAATATCTTTAAAAATATAGATATTGAATATTCAAATGAAGAAACCTGAAAAGCGGACTGGGCGGCTCCGACCCAATCCCTGCCGACTCTGGTCAGCTGGACCATCGCGTCGTCGTTTCAGAAAAGAGCGGCCAGCTGATGGATGCCTCGGGCAATCGTAGGGATGAGTGAAATGGACAGGACGGCCGGCACGGGACCCTTCTCTCTATTGGATGGATATGTGACTGAGAAAGGGAAAGGAATTCGACTCTTTCCCTTTCTCTTTCCCTTTCACACCCCGGCTAAGGCACTGAAATTGAATCATTAAAGATTGAATCATCAAAGAAGAATATTGAAGATAAGGCACAGCTCTGGCACAGCTCTGACTCTGCCAAGGCACAGCTCTGACAAGGCACAGCTCTGCCAAGGCACAGCTCTGCCAAGGCACAGCTCTGCCAAGGCACAGCTCTGCCAAGGCACAGCTCTGCCAAGGCACAGCTCTGCCAAGGCACAGCTCTGCCAAGGCACAGCTCTGACAAGGCACAGCTCTGACAAGGCACAGCTCTGCCAAGGCACAGCTCTGACAAGGCAAGCCCTGCCAAGGCACAGCTCTGACAAGGCACAGCTCTGACAAGGCACAGCTCTGGCTGTGGTCCAAATTTAAGGTGAAGAATCGAATCGAGAGTGATAGAAAAGGGATTTCGGGCATACGGAAAAACAATCAACCTTAAATCTAGCCGAGAACTTCTCGAGAAGCTCGACGAATGATCTCCGAAAAGTTTGACGACTGATTTTTGCGACTGACGACTTGATTTTCGTTTTCCGGTATCCCCTATGCTATCCAGTTTGACGGATGGCACAAAAATTTTAGTCTAAAAGGCTTCTAGGAGAGCTTAAAATTAGTCAAACCCGAATCCCGTCACTTGGGCTCAAAACTCATCTTTATCTTAAAGCTATAGATAAAGATAAGATTATAAAGCTTTTCTCGCAGCTATGGTACTTCTTTTTGGGGTTATTTGAGCGCAGCTATGGTACTTCCTTAAAGCTTGCACCCAAATCAGAAAGCAATAAAAGTTTAAGAGTAATGCATTGCATTATCTAAAAAAGGAAATAAATGAGAATTTAAATGAGAGCAAGTTAGTTAACCCCCTCTTTGACTGAAGGAGCTCAAGTGTGTTGTGCGGTTGGCGCACGACTTTTTGATCTGCCCTAGTTCTAAGTAGTTAGCACAATGGTTAGCACAGTTGCTCGATAAGCGGAAGGTTGGGGGTTCGAGTCCCCTTGGCGCACCAGGTTTTGATCTGCCCTAGTTCTAAGTAGTTTTTGCAAATTGTGCAAACACTCTTTCTGACGCAATCAATCTTTTGATGCTCCGAGAAAGGTTTCTTTTTTAGTGTGTTAGAAGATGTGTGTTTCAAAAAGCAATTGAATATTGAAAGCAAAAAGAACAAAGATAAAAAGAGCAGTTTACAAATGCTAACAAAAGTTGAACAAAATCGATTAGAAGATTCTTAAATTTCACAAAAATTCACTAAACAAGATCTCGGAAAACTTGAAAAAATCAAAAGATACACAAAATTCAAAAACAAAAGAGCAAAACCTTCGTTCGCCATTTCTTTTTTCTCATCTAATCAATTGGAAAAGGAAAGCAACGAAACAAGGACAAATAAAAGGTAACTTTTAGAGAGATTTTAGAGAGATTTCATTTCAAATTCATTTTAAAACAATTCAAAAATTGATTGCTTATTTTGATATTTGAAAATTGATTGATATTGATTGACCATTTTGCCTTTTAAAAAGCGAAAGAAGAACAGAAAACGAAACTTTACTAAACCGCGCGCGCGCCGAGAGCTAAGCCCCGTCCCTTAGATGGTCTAGAACTCGAGATATAGAAGTTGATTCAACTTATGATTGCTTTTAATAGAATCTTCGTTAAATTTGGTTATAGAAAAGTAGAATTTGTTTGGTAAACTCAGGTATAAGAACATAGAGAAAATTTGGCTCAAAGTTGACCTTCTAAATTCCGTAACGAGCCTCGGAGTTTACTCTATAACTCGACTTCCAATTATCAGATCGACTTACGGTTGGTTTTAAAATGATCCTTATGAAATTTGGTTGTAGAAAAGTACAATTTATTTGGTAAACTCAGGAATAAGAACATAAAGAAAATTCGAGTCAAAGTTGAACTACCTACCCGAAAAAGTTGATCAACTTAGATGGTCTAGAACTCGAGATATAGAAGTTGAATCAACTTATGATTGCTTTTAATAGAATCTTCACCAAATTTGGCCATAGAAAAGTAGAATTTGCAACGAAAGCAGCAACGAAACAAGGACAAATAAGGTACTTTTGGGTTTTGAGGTTTCATTTCAATTCATTTTAAAACAATTCAATTGTTGCTTATTTGTTTTGAATTGTTGTTTGTTGCCATTTGCCTTTAAAGCGAAGAGAACAGAAAACGAAACTTTCTAAACCGCGCGCCGAGAGCTAAGCCCCGTCCCTTAGTGGTCTAGAACTCGAGATATAGTTGTTCACTTGTTGCTTTTAATAGAATCTTCATCAAATTTGGCCATAGAAAAGTAGAATTTGTTTTGTAGACTCAGGTATAAAAACATAGAGAAAATTAGTGTCAAAGTTGACCTTCCCAAATCCAAATAGTAGATAATTGATTGATAAAATCAATTATCTACTAATTGATATTCTGTCAACGCTTGAAAAATATAGTTATGAGAAGTTTTAACAAATTTTAGCCAACAAAAAGCCAACGAAAATCGAGCCAAAAGCGAAATTTGTGTAAAAAACACAGCTTTCAAGCTTTTTCTAAAGCTTTTAGCGCTTATTAGTGTATTTTTAGAGATTTCTATGATTTTAAAGAGTTTTTTGATCAAGCTAATGAATAAAATGATGGACTTCTATACCTCGAGTTCTAGATAAAATTATGCGTGCTAGAGGATAAAGTACAAAGTGCAAAGCACAGAGTACGTGCTAGAGTTTGAGCACAAAGCACAAGTCGAGTTTTTATGCAAACGCACATTTCCAGGTACACTCAATTATCTTAGAATTAGCTTGAGGCTTGCGTTTATGAGAGGAAAAAGTAAGAGAACTAAACCAAAGCCAAGTCAAGCTAAACCAAGCCAATCCCTTGACTTGGCTTGACTTGGCTTGGCTTGGCTTGGTTTGGTTTGAATGGCTTAGCTTGGCTTGGTTTGGTTTGGCTTGACTTGGTTTGGCTTGACTTGATTTGGCTTAGCTTGGTTTGGTTTGAATTGGCTTAGCTTGGCTTGGTTTGGTTTGGCTTGACTTGGTTTGGCTTGACTTGGTTTGGCTTAGCTTGGCTTGGCTTGGCTTGACTTGGCTTAACTTGGCTTGGCTTGACTTGAAAATCAATCATTTCTATTTATGATCTAAATAATTTAAATAAACTTAACAAATCTTTTTGTATAAATTTAAACTCCGGAAACTCGTCAACTCTTTTTTTATGATTGAACCAGTCTGTTGACGATTTTAAGCGTTTTTGCATTCATAATAGCTCTCGAGAGATTCCGAGAGAATCCAGCGGGGATCGATTGGAAAATCGAAAAGTTAAAACTTGTTATATATGTTGTGTCCGATTTAGATTGAACTTATCGCGGACGTCCGATTTAGATTACAGTCTATATCGGACGTCCGATTTAGATTCAATCTAAATCGGACGTCTTATATAGATTGAACAATAATATAAACATGCTTAATATATGTTCTTAAGCGTTTTCTGTAGTTTTCTGCATTTTTCAAAGGTCTTTTATTGATTACAGTCTATATCGGACGTCCGATACAGATCGAACAATAATAAACGTGCTTAATATATGTTCTTAAGCGTTTTTTTGCAATTTTCTGCGCTTTTCAAAGAATTCAAGATGTCACAATAGCATGTTCAAGATGCCACAAAGAATTCAAGATGTCACAATGTCACAACTCTGCAATTCAAGATGTCACAATAGCCTAAGCTGCAAAAATAAATAGAAATTTTTAACTCGTTCGTTGTTGTTGTTGGTTTTTTGTTGTTGTGTGTTGTAATTTCGCATCTATTCTGTTAACGCTAATAGATTGTTTCATAGTTGGGTTTTCTTTTCAGAAAAAGACAGTAACAGACCTTTGAAAAATGCAGAAAACTACAGAAAACGCTTAAGAACATGTATTAAGCATGTTTATATTATTGTTCAATCTATACAAGACGTATTATTGTTCAATCTATATAAGATTTAGATTGAATCTAAATCGGACGT